TGATGATACATAATATGGGTGACAGCATGTATTGTAGCTTCTTTGCTGTAAACTGACTATTAAGTTGAAGGGAATTGAAATACCGACTGAATAAAACACAGACATAGTGCGGTCACGACGTGGACGGGTTTCAATTTGAGCCAGAATGCAAAATGCCTGCCAGCTGCCAGAGGCTGTTGTTTACAGCCTCATGACTGATACATATTTTACTGAAACAGAAAAACAACTGAATTACTCTCTTACAATGCACCACAGCAGTGGTATAAGTGATCAGGCCAGTGGAGAAGGCTGCGCAGCCCGCTGTGGTTCAGTATGGCAGTCATCTCCCTCACATACACACACACACAAAAAACAACAAAAAATGTGGCTGAAAGCTGCGAGAAAAGCAGGAAAAATCCAAATGCTTCAAATAGTCACGCATCTAGCAGCAGTAACACCTCATCCTAACGTACAGCGAGTGAGCGAGCTGTAGCAGATGGAGCAAGAAAATTTGTGCAAATATACTACGAATAATGTAGTGCAATGAGGGGATGCGAGAGGAGCAAATGAGATGGTTGATTTTGTGCTGTGATTTCTTCTTCTCTGAAAATGAGTAAGTTTTGATCATTTTCTCAGCTAGAATGATTATTTTTTGTGATTTGTGCACTGTTATACTTTATATAGGCGATGATGCGACGATCTTAAATCGTGGACGAGCTTACTCTGGCGTGTGATCTACTTTTCAGATAAATCGTACAGATCAAACGTGCTGTATTTAGATATTTAATTTTCAAAGTTCAGTCACTGCTAACCAGCCCACTGTCAACCGTTAAACAGCTAGCCCGCTAACTGCAGCTGGCGACAGCACTCCTTGTGGTGTGCTGCAGCCTCGGCGAGCTTGGCGTAGTGGCGCATGTACAGGTTCTCCACCTGAGCAGAGCAAGAACCACCATCACCAGCTGTAGTCCCAAGACACTGGAGTTGCAGTCCGCGGGATGAGAGATCTGCTGCTGGCAGGGAAATCTAAAGCAGGGGGAAAAATAGCAGCGAGCAGACAACCATATGAAAGACACGTCAAAGCGGCGGAACAATAGGAATCACAGCTTCCAGCCTGGACGTTCAGAATAAAATCAGAGCAGAAAGAGGATGCAGAGACTTGTGTGTTGAAGTGACGGGCTTTGTGTCCAGGTAACCATCGCACAGCTGGTCCTGTGATCACGAGTTCAACTAAATCTGATGAATTCATGAAGTCGTGATTCAGATCATGGATTGTGATTCTACTCAAAAAGATTGTCATATGATCTTTTGGCCAGATCGCCCACCCCTAACTGCAATAAAGACCGATATTGATTAATAACTGTTACTGTCAGAATAGTGGCGTTGTCTTACAATCTGGCAAAACATATTTGTTTTCATACCAAGATAGACATGACTTCCTCTCACTTCCATCACATTTGCTTAAAACCTAGGGTCAATGTTAAAAATGTCAAAATATAGTTTTTGCTGTTAAATTATATTCACTGAACAGGCTTTTCTGAAAAGGTTGATCCCTGCAACATCAGTGTCCTTGTACATGACGGTTGATCCCTGCCGTCTCGTACGCTGTACACCGTGTCAAATTAAAACACGAACAGGAAGTATGACACAGGAAACAATACCCCAAACTGATCTCAGTTAACCGAGCAAACTTTACTGTTTTTTTTTGCCTGAGCTAGCAGGCTAATAATTCTGATTATTCTGACTAAGCTTGATCTGAGTATGTTGTACAGAAACCAGATAGTAGAATGGTTAGCAATGGTTTGACAATCCCAAACAGTCAGAAGCAGTTTCCACAGTGTGCCTGTAAGTCTGTGGACTAACTGGATTTGATCTGATCTGCAACAACTGGATGTCCCCCGGAAAAGATCCCAGTTGTTTTAAGTCATTTACCCACATGAACATTGAAACAGCTTCCTCCTATTCATTCTGGCCATTTAAAGATCATTTCCTAATGTAAGTTATGGGGGCCGAAATCTAAAGTCCTCATTTTGTGTAGAATTAATTTGAAAGTTTATCTGAACTAAATTGAGTTTTCTGCAGCCTGGACTTGTCCTATCAAGTGCTTATCTTGCAAAGTGACAGGATTTTTATTATAAAACTCCTACTTTTTGTTACTGTGCCTCCACCACGGCTCAACACTGTCCAGGGACTCACAAAGAGGGAAAATTTACATATTTAAAAGACTGTAACTCTAGAAGAAATCCACTTGCTCTGTCTAAAAAAAAAATCAGACTGTTGAAGAATCAAATGAACTGTGGATAAACTTGGAATACATTTTTGCACAGAGTGACGACTGTGGATTTCATCCATCACTTACACTGAGAGCACAATAATGGCCAGAACAGGGGGAATTATTACAGCAAGCAAAACCTGTTCCAATGTTCATATACTGTAGGTGCCTGAATGTTGATTCAAGACTGACTTTAAAAGCTGTAATCCTTGAAGTTCCTCTCCACACATGTTTTAAACTATGTAAAAATAACCTGCTATGATTCATATTTTGTTTAACATGGCGATCCCACATAAAAAAAGTAGGGGAAAAAAATAGTGAACTGGGGCTGGAGACTCAGACGAGGAGTCCGTTGAGACCAGAATCAGAGACTGGCAGACGTTTCAGAACGGTTAGTGGAGTTAGAATCTTTTATTTTTTGTTTGTTAGCTTGTAACTGGCAGTGGGTAACACAGTGTTAGTGGTTGTGCCAATGTAAACTCTTGCTCTCTGTACTTACAAGATTTTGGGTTTATTTAGCCCCGCCCCCCCTTCCCCACAAGTTGACAGGATTGGTTCCTGAGGTTTATGACGTATGAATCCTGTGGTTGTCTGAATCTGTTTTTACGAGACTGTCATTGGTTCACTGCAGTTCAAGGTGGAAATACTCAGTCATGGCATTGACTGCTTATTTCGCTCATGATTCGTCTTGTATTATATGAAAAACACCATATGGAGCCGAACTTGATTTTCATCAGAGGGGGTCTTTAATTCTCTCACCTCATCCTGAACAGGCTGGTTCTGAGCTGCTATACAGACTTGCACCACTTTTTTATTATCAAGCAGCTGATTTCACATTTAGAGTAAGTTCATATTTGTAAATGACCCACATGGTAATCAGAGTGACGCTGCATGTCACAAAGAAAGAACAACAAAGAAATCTCAGACACATTATAATATTATTAATAGGCTTGTTGTGTTGTTATAATGAGACGGCGCTCTCTTGGTATCTTTTTAAAGTCTCAATTCCCTTTCTCATTTTGTTTGCTTGGATATGAACCGCAGCAGGTTATTGCTAGAAGCAGTGTCTTTAAATGGAATTTGAATGAAGACAAGCAAATGACAGTGGATCCATTATTTGTATTCTCAAGCTGTTGTGCCTTTAAAAACTAATATAGTATATAATAAGTTCATGAATTGGCAAATCTCAAGTGATCAGCATCAACCCACCATCCACCTTCATGAGTTAATTTCAGCGTAAATATTCCAAATACGTTTTCTTAAGTGAGCATCCTGGAAGGCCGCTGTTAACAATGCAATTGACAGGGTAAGCCCAGCTGGGGACCTGCTAAAAACTGAGGCTACATTGTTCTTTTGTAGGGTCCCCTGGTTGACAGAAAAGTCATAATGAGAAAGATCTGCCCCAGAAATCAAAGCACTGCTGGGAATGCACTCGCAAGTTTTCCAATCATCAGAATGACATCCTCTGTAAGAGCGGGGGGGGGGAGCGGGACGGCGAGCGGGAGCAGGGAGACACAGCAGTGATTCCAAACCGAGAGAATAAGGTGTGTCATGACTGCCCGGGGAGAGGCCATAATGTGAGTCAGTCTACGGCGGCGGTGGCGAGAAGGGCTGGATAATGTCGTTCTTGTGTGGGCGAGGGCAAGTGCACGGGAGAAGCTGCGCACAAACACCTCAAAGAAGAGGCACTGAGTGGAATATAAAGATGTTTGCTTTCAATGGAGGGTGAAAAGAGGGGCACCCTGTCATTCACTCAACACTGAATACAACAAGGCCACATTTTCAGACTAACATATCGTACATCCTCAGCCTCTTTTATCGCTCTGAGGGGACGTGTTTCTTTTCCTTTTCGAGCAGACAATGGAGTTTTTCCATGTAATGAAAAAAAAATAAAAAAACACCATTTGTACATGTTTGACCTTGTAATTTAAGCATATTTTTCCAGTTGCTTATACATGTGGCTGAGCACAAACACATCCAGACGACTACACATGCACACCCATACTCCCACTGTCACACACACACACACACGCACACACACACACACACACACACACACACCCACGCACACACAGGCAAGGCAAACAAATAATACAGCTCTCAGACTGTGTGTTTAGACAGGCAAACAGCTTGTAGTGATGACTGGCCACAAGAATGAGAGAAAGGAGAAGGAATAATGTGCATTCAGTCATTGCTGAGATTATAATGTCACTTGGGAGCTGTGACCCTGCACAAACACCCTGCTGCGCTGTGTTTCAGTAATTTTCCATAAACCCAATCTAATCTCCCCCTCCCTCCTACACTGTTCTTTAAGGAGATTTTTTTTTTTTTTTTTTTATAGGCTTTTGTCTGAGAAACAGATAATTCTTTATAAATCAAATAAATAGCACTGGCTGAATTGTGCGAGGTTTCCTGATTGGCTCACTGCAAATATGTCTGTATTATCACCTGGGTTATTGTTTAGGATGTGTGTGGGATGGCCTTGTTTCGCAGTGCAGAGGTTAACGTGTTATTCATGTTGTCACAGAGGTCAAATCTGTACAAACGTAGTGCGGTTCTTCATGTCGGTCCTTTTAATGCATGCTGTATTATTCAATGCAATATTCATCCGAAGACCTCATGTGACCTCATATGACCTCCTCTTTGAATTGTCTGAACTTTATATGATAATGAGAGCTACATCCAAAGAACAGAAAATAATAATTTAAAAATGTGCTTTTAACTGTTTTTCTCTTTTATTTTCTTCCCATAGGCTGATTGATCATCTTGCTCTCTGAGTGTGAATGTGTGGGCTTGAGGTGTTTTTGAGGGACCATATGGCACAATACCACACGTTATAGGTAAGATTCTTTTTTTTTTTTATTTACTGTTTAACATTGAAATAGTTTGAGGCCTGAAATTACCCCCAGAAAAATCCTTGACCTTTCTTATCCAAGCAACCTGAGGCCTTGGCAGGATATTCACAGCTCAGACGACTTTTAACATGATAAGTGGAACAGAAACCTCAGGGGGGAGGTGATAAATTTGAGCCTTTAACACCAGATTTGTGGATTTGGTTGGTGAATTCTTCTCATATTCTCTTTATCCTCCACCCAGGAGTGATGCTTAGTATCTGGAATTAATCACTCAGGTCAGCTAATAATGAAAGTCCTGCCTGCAATTCTTCATTTAAATTCCTTACCGCAGTGGAGAACACAAACAAATCAGATAGGCTAGTAGCACCTCCTGCTTGTATTACATGCAGCCTATTCCTGTCAGTTCAGATTGGTATGCAATCAAATGCTAGCTGGAAAATAAACAGTACATTTCTGTTTTTTATGGTGACTGTTGTTGTGGTCTCTAGGCTGAGAGGTTTGGTAACAACCTCCAGGATGAAAATAATTTTCACTTTCAGTACACCTTTTAACTTCAAGTAAGTTAAAGGGACCCTCAATTAATTTTGCACACAAAGGTCATTTTACTCATCATTAGTACTACTCAACACGTCAAAACAGTTTCATAATAATAGGTCCATGGTTTTGAAGGGAGCTTTGATGTGATGATTACATCAGGGTTACCTTGAAGGGAGTTTGAATTCATGGGGAGTAACCAGGCAGGCAGGGTCAAAGGAAATGATGGATCAGGAGAAATATAGTCCATTTATTTTGCATGTCGCTCAGTTTATTAGGGAATTTATAACACTTGAAAACAACTGTATAATGTTTCCTCAGACTCAAGTTACTCTAGTACTCACTTAAACAGTGAAAGATGCTGTTGATAGTATGATTATTGTGTCTGTTGTCTTTTTCTGTGCGGCTGATCCAAGCACTTCTAGCTGACGATCTCTGAACTTTTCAGAATGGTGCGGGTGTCGTCGCTGTAGTTTCTTTTCAGGCAACCGATCAGATGGGGCAGGACTTGTTACCCTTATAACTAAGGGTGATTGATGTTTCTTCTTTTTTTTGCCATTAAAGGGTTTTTTTGGGAGTTTTACATATCAGAATCAAGGGTCTGAAGATAGAGGGTGTTTATCTGTACATATATGTGCAGATAAAATCCTTTCAAGCTAATTTCAGGCTGTATAAATAAAATTGACCTGACATGATTCGACTTAATAGAAACAAGTCCTCCAATCTAAGTGACCATATACTGTAGGTCACTTGTCCATATTCTTGGATATGACACATGAGTGTACCAGCAGCAGGCGTCCTGCACCTTCACGGTATCAATGATGCAACTCTTAAAAGTGCACTAGCAGCAGGACAAGGATAGGGTTGTGGAAAAGTCACAATTTAGGTAAGTTTAAAAAAAGATTGTGGCTTGGGTTAAAATAAGCACTTCCTTCAGGTTCTAGGACCTATGTCATCATGGCTACAATAATAAATATGCGGTTAAGGTTGTGGAACACTCATGGATAAAAAAAAAAAAAAAAAAATGTTGATTTTTGCCTTCACATGGGAAACAACCAATCCATCCACCCCAACCTTCTTCTTACTCTAACTTTGTATTTATCTCTATCTCTTGAAGATTTCTTCCTCTGCGCCTGTCATTATATGGTGACTAATGGCTGCCTAAAATGTAACTAAGATTACTACTAAGGTTAAGAGTTTGACCTTGACCTTGAAAAGAGATTGATCATGATGTTTCATTTCAGTAACAATGTTTAAAAAAAACAACAACTCTGTGAATGATATGATATTGAACACTAAATGTATGAAATCTCACAAGCAGATTGCAAGTGCAGCAGCTTGTGAGGACAATGATGATGACGATGTTTTGATGCTGTGATCATAGCAGACCTCTCAGCTGTTAACTGCTTCAAAATGAGGCTTCAGCTGTTGCTGATGATGATGTCACTAATTCAGACCCAGTGGAGGCCATCCTACATTCTTGACACACTCCTTGAATCTCCTGCATCAGACGGATTTAATGTGATCAAAAGAGCTTTCATGCTTTTGATGCTTGATGCATGTTCACTCAGGAGGTTTTTGAAGGTCATACAAATGTGAAACTAGAAAATATGCTCGGTAGAGCGCATACCTCTACCTAGGCCAATGTCAAACAACACACACCAGACTTCAGAGGAAGAAGAAATTCCAATTCATAGTAAATGATCCGGATCTGCCCTGAAATTTAATGGGTTCTTCCCTGGCCTATGCTGGGGGCGTGGGAGCTTAGGTATAGCACAGTAGTTTAGTACTTTTTGCATAGTCCTGCTGACAAATAAACTAACAAACAAACCGACATGAGTAAAAAGATAACCTGAAAACAACACACTTGTACCTTTTATGGTTTGCTACTTTCACCAGCTTGAACTCTGACTGTGTGTTTTATGTATGTGTAACTTAACTGTGGGATCGGCCTGGGGGGGGGCGTCGTCCATGCCGAGTAGTGCCATTAGTTTAAGTACTGGAGCCCAGCTATTACACACATGGTTAAGTTGTGGGTCATTTCAAAGGTTGTTTAAACGCTGTTCCTAAGGTGGATGTTTACAGACATTGATCAGAAATAAATGATCACATAATAAAATACTGATCTGACTTTATGAATAGTTGCATCATGTTTGAGAATACCACAAGCAAACTTTCATTTCCAGCGGCACTGCGGATGTTTTCAATTTAATGGACTGACCTTGTAATGTTTCTTTGCAAATACATGACAAATAAAGAAACCATCAGGAGAGTAAATGATGAATGAAAGGATGTTTGCTGCATTTCCATCTTTAGTAGTTGATAATAGCTGGGTAGAAGTACAGTAAATCACTTAAAACAGTCTGTTGCTCAAAGGCTACCAGCAACTTTTAAAGTGGAATGTTTTCTTGCGGCGTATTACTCAATGCATGAGTTGATGTGGTGGATCAATCAATACACTTTATATAATAATTATGACAACTTTGACCAATCCTTTTGTTTTTAACGACTCTCTTGTATGACATATGCTTTATTGATGATTGGATCTTCAAGTGCTTAAAAAAGTGTGTATGAATTTCAACGGATTATGCAAGCTGTGAATATCCTAATTCCTCACTAGGAGAAAAAAAAAATGGAGTCGTTCCAGCAGCATTTCATTTATGTTGGTGAAGTGAGGCCAGTCCTGGCATACGCACACTCTCATGCGCACCCTGAATTACATGCACACAGAGACATTGAGAGACTGACAAAATAGGGCCAGCACAAACTTAATGAATGTTTTAAACTTCCAGCAGCCCACCGATGTGGCGACTCACTGGGATTTGTCCCAGCATGCCCAATGGCCAGTCCGACTACGAAGAGTTTTGTTACACCTGGGTGTTGCACAAGCGTAGCACACTTGTGGTCGGGGGTAAGATCAATAGGTAATAAAAAATCTATCCAACTTAATGATAGCTGTCAAATCTACTGTCTCTTTCTTTTGTGGTAATTTCCACTCCATGACATTGCAGTGGTGGCAATAACTTTATATAAGGGAAACTGCTCAGAGTGTACAGTACGTAAAGAGTGTGAAGCAGTATCTGGCTATTTTTGGCTCTCACAGAAAAATGAAGAATATGAGACAGGTAATAAATGAATGAATCCACTGTGTCTCCGAGATGATTCATAAAAGCATCTTTTATAAGGTGGAGGAGGTATGTCACATATTTTCATTAACATTTGATGTTGTTGAGAGGATGAACCCGAGGGTGAGAAAATAAAACAGAGCTAGATGAAGATATATTTTTAGACCACAATGAGTGAAAGCTTGTGAAATCATTTTTGACCTGCAGTAAGAAGATCCGACAAGCTCAGACTCAATAAAGAAGTTGCTTTCCTCTTAGCGGTGTCTCAGGAAATCAATCATGCATTCTTTCAATTAGTTACCCCTTCATCCCATGATTCTTCAAGTCTGATATCTTAATGAAAACATTATGCACATACAATGTAGATGTAGACCTTAATATTACTGGGCGTGCTTTGTGTGACAGAACTCTTTGTTCTCTTTTTATATTTTGTCTTCAGTTTGATTGTTTTTTTTATATCTCAGGTATTTAAGATTCACACTGCACAATTGGAAGAAAACTAAGGCTTGTACATCTTCGTGTACCTTATAAATGTATGTGTTTTAGTGATCTGGCAGACTAATGTTGGAACAGGGTTCTGAGGCATTTCACCTCATTTGGACTCTGTGAATCAGTGGTATGGGTGCTGTTAAGGGGGTAACCAATGATTCAGAGGACCCTGACTTGGACTTGTGTCAAACTTAAAGCTGCTATAATCAATGTTTTTATATTATCAATGGATCGAATGACTATGTGTAACATGTTGCTCATGCTGGCAAACCCATAGAGCATCATTATGCAACTCTTCAGTTCCCCTTCAGCTCTAGAAATCGTTTTAGCATTATTCAGTCCATTGTTTTGGTTTTACAACTGGCAACTGGTGAAAAAGTTGGGAACATTGGTAGAGCATTCACTTACTAAAGCGCCTGATATTTCAGGAGTTGGTGGAGATAATACATAGAGCTAAAGGGAGATTATTGAGTTAGGCAAGTGAGCATGACTCCAAATGAATGCTCATGTTGCTGTCAATTAGCAACTGCATGCTACAACGTTATCATGATCAGCTTGATGATATGTGATAATTGGTCAATGTTGTGTTCACAGTGCAAGTTTGTGAAAAAGCATATTGTTGAATATAATCTTGAATAGATTTCTGTAAAATCACATCTTTTACATTTGTGTCTGCAGTTGCAGTTAAATTACATTCTGTCTCTTGACAAATCAAATCACAGTTTGCTATGAAGATCCAAAAGTTAACTGTAAACTACCTTATTTGGGGTAATACCTCTTTGAATGGCATTTCTAGAAAGACCCAACGAACAGGAGGTAAACAGTCTAGAGTTTGAAC